ACACACACACTAACACACACAGTCTGATTTATTTAGCCTACGCCACCCTAACCAGCCTTCATCCTGATCTCTTCCTCAAGAGGCCTCTGAGTTTCTCTTGCAACTCCTGCCTTGTATTCTTTAATATTCACCCACTCTCTCTGGCTCACATGTTCGCCCTGTGATCTGTTTTTATTTTGTTTAAAATGACTAATGCCTGTTTGTTGACCTGTAAAGCGGTTTGTGACAAATTGGTTTAAAAAGTGCTTTATAATTTGAATTGATGTCTTGTGATTTGATTGTTTTTTATTGCTCTGAGGCCTGCGCTGCATTAACCTGCCTACCATCTCCTGTGAACATTAGAGCTGAGTGTGCATCTAGTGTGCTGCTCAAAAGTCATTGTGGAGGCCTAACAGCCCTGAGGAAGAAGAGAAAATGAAGGCTATCATAATGTGCCGCTACCTTGCACACAACCATACTCTCATGTGTGCATTCAATCACATTTAAAGATTTTTTTTTGCCTTGTTGTCTGGGCCCGGAGTATGGGTACACTCTTGATTCTTTTCTTGCAGGATCACTGTGACTTTCCCCGCATTTCTAAAACAAAGGACCTTCATCTCCCACTGCTTGCCATCGTTGGTAGATAAAGAAGTGACAATTCACTTTGACAAGTGCTAAACTATCTTATTTTACAATGTATTTGTAGCAAATATAAAACATTCTTGTAGGAAGTCATTTCTATGATTGCTTTCAATAGTAACTAAAAAGAACAATGTCTTTAGTTATAATTTTTATTTTAAGATAGGTTCAATATACATATTGTACACGTGTACGGTGGAAACCTGAGGCCTCCGGGGCAAATACTGACACTATGAGCGTGAACTTCTCAGTGAAGTTGGAGACATTATGTTCAGCAGTTAAACTTCTGAAACAAAAAATGTTTTGCGTATTTATAAAATGTGTTTTTTGTCAATGAGGCAGAATTTTAAGAATTTCAAATAAGGCAAAAGACAAATTATTAATCAAGGATTTAAAAGATTCTAAATTTTGAATGAATGTCTGACCTTGTGAAGCTCCACTCGGGTTAACAACATTATCGCAATAAAGTGGCGAACATGATCACAATTAAGAAAAATGGATGTGGATATTTATTAGCACTCTAGCCTCTTAATGCTGGAATAGTTAAGGTCTCTCTCTCTCTCTCTC